TTAACCCAGAAGCCCTCCAGCCTTTCCCTGCTGAGCTACCTGCAGCCACCACCTCGCGGAAGGTACTGCGCACACAGGCCGGTATGCACCGGCAATGTGACTGAGCATCCTGCCACCATTTTCTGGTCTAGGGCCAGGGCTCCCACTGCTCGGCAGTCATGGGGGACAACCCAGGAGCCACAGGGGGTGCCATGAGGCCAGGGCCACTCTCTCACCACTCCTGGGAGCTAAACCCACAGAGTGAGGAGAACGCTCCCCACCCAGCATCCAGTACCCCACAAGTGTCCACCTGGCCTGACTTTTAGCAGGTATGCCCTGTGGGGTGACTGCTGGCCCCAGACTCAGAACTCAAGGGTCTGAGGAGGAATGAAGCCCTGGTGGCCTGGCCTCAGCCCAGCCCTCTGCGGAACACCTCTCCCAAGCCATCGACTGGCCAACCCTTGCCAGTTCACCACAAAGGCTGTGGAGTACACAGAACAGACAGTCAGACCTGAGGGCCAGGGAGCTCAGACCAGGCGTCAGGCAGGGAGGGAGGCCGGGGTCTGCAGTGTAGAGGTAGCGCAGGAAGGCACAGGTGGCCTCGGCGCTCACGTCGCTCAGCAGGACACGCAGAGCCAGGTCCCCGTCTTCCTCAGCAGAGAAGCCCTCGCTGCTGACCTGAGAGCAGAGCAAACACCGCGTCAGCTGGACAGCCCTAACCGTCAGTGACACCGACACATCCAGTGTGTCTGGGCGTGCTCCCCTGGAGATGCCGCCCACGGAGACATCGGGCCTGCGGGGAGTGCCGCCAGCTGGGAGCCTAGGGGCCAGGCCGTACCGCCTCCCCATTTCTGAAGCTGTATTTGGGACAGTCGAGAGCCCAGTTAGTTTCCCCCACTGAACATCAAGGGCTCTGAGACTGACAGGGCTTGGGCGCAGTTCGCTGGATTTTCAGGTCAAATGCACCCCCTGTGAAAAAGTAGGTATCTCGGACGCCCGTCAGCAGCTCAGTCTTACGGAGGGTGCTTTTGAGACTTCAAGCAAACAGAGGAAAAGGAAAACAGTTTTGGGGAAACGGCATTTTCACCAAGTGGAACGAGAAAGCGTGACGTTCCCCAATCCCAAGGCCGTCCCTCACCCCTGCCTAACTTCCGACGGGCAGGCTCCCTCTTCTCCACGAAGTGAAGCGGCATGGCGGGCGTACTTACATACCGCATGAGGAGCGGGCACCGGGCGTAAAGCACAAACTTATGGGCGTAAAGCACCTCCCCGCTGTCCATCTGGAACTGGACGTCGCTCAGGTGTGGGTTGTTGACCATGGCACCAAGCTCGGTGGCCAGCAGCCTGAGGTGGAGCTGAGAAGGCAAGAGAAGAGTGGCACCCTGGCACTCGCTGCTTCTCCCCCTGCGCGGAGTGGAGAGTGGCACCCCGGCGCTCGCTGCCTGTCCCCGAGCCAAGTGGAGAGTGGGACCCCGGCGCGAGCCGCCCCCCCTGCGCGGAGTGGAGAGTGGCACCCCGGCGCTCGCTGCCTGTCCCCCTGCGTGGGGTGGAGAGTGGCACCCCGGCGCTCGCTGCCTGTCCCCCTGGGCGGAATGGAGAGTGGCACCCCGGTGCTCGCTGCCTGTCCCCCTGCGCGGAGTGGAGAGTGGCACCCCGGCACTCTCTGCCTGTCCCCAAGCCGAGTGGAGAGTGGCACCCCGGTGCTCGCTGCCGGTCCCCCTGAGCCGAGTGGGGCCGGCCCAGCACGGGGCAGCCAGAGTCACCGCTCTCTGTCCCACCCCACTCCGCACAGCCCCTGTAGGCACCCGCAGTACCAAACAGCAAACAAGCTTCCTCTCCCCACCTCTCTACTGCAGGGAGCGGGAGCAACAGGGACAGCAGGGAGAGGTGCACTGAGTCCGCACCCCTGCCCCTGTGCATGCTGGGCTGTGTTCACACCGTTCCCCAGTGGCTCACAGCAGCCCCTCGGGGAAAGACACCAGCCCAAAGTGAGGATGAGGACACAGGCTGAGCCATGCAGAGATCCGACCAAGATGACGACGCCCACTCTAAGGAAAGCCCAGCTCTAGCCATGCCGTCACCAGCCAGAACACGCCGTTAGCTGAGGGCAGGCCCGGCACCCGCGTGCAGGACAGTGGGCCCTCCATGAACGAATGAAACTGTGGAGAAGGGCTGCAGAGCACACGCCTGAATGGAGCAGCGCCTGGAGCAGCAGGAACCCCTCGAGACCCCCCAGGGCAAGCAGGTGCAGGGGCTTACGCACTGAGGAGGCCCAGAGTTCAGACAGAGGAACAAAAGCCTTATGGCAGAGCCAAGAGGGGACGCGAGGGCCCCGCGGTCTCTGCTCTGCTCAAAGAGCTGTCGAGGTTGACAGACGTGCCCCTCAGGAAAGCAGCAGATTCATGAAAGGTCGGCAGCTAGCAGGGAGCTGACCTCACCCAGCACCTGCCAGCAG